TTGGCATTTTTGTTTCATAAATAACTTCAAATGATTGATTCCAGTCCATACCAATAATTAAATATAGTTCATTTTGCCACTGAGCAGTGCTAACAGACTCATGGCCAACAAAGAGAAAGGAAACAAAAACACTGAATTAAACATAATTTATTTATTTAGTTTTTATCAGTGTAATATCATTTTAAACTGGACCAATGATTTTGTAACTACCCCGACATTCATTTTAGTTTTTTTCCACCCAAAAACCCTCAAACGCACAACAAGCCACATTTACAACTGTGAATCTCCGAAGTAAAAGCTTAAGAGAAGCACTTGAAGGGGGGATTAGTCCATCTATTGTTCACATATTAGCTCAGGGTTAATGTTACAGCTTAAACACCACTGGCATTAACACAGCTCTTTTTGTTCACACTGCATCCCAAACATCACCAGAAATCATATATTTTTTCCATATTAACTATTGAACATGAGCATGGTTTGGACTGTAAACAGTTCAGTTGCATGTTGCCGTGTGTTAAATCCCTGTGCGGCTGTTTCCCCGTTTTAACACTCTGTGGTGGGATTTCACCATTACTCGTGGATGAATGTGCTTACCGTTGGCTAATCCTCCAAATCATCTGTTAATAACACGCGTCGTCACTAAAGAGGCTTTCCCCGGCTTTAGCTCGCTGGTGGAAAACAAAAGCAGTGTTCTGTTTTTTAGGTCTGTCAGATCATCATGGGTTTTAAGGGCACGATATTTCTCTCATGAAGCTCTGAAGTCAGAGGAGTTACTGACCCAGAACAGTTTCGACAGGAGACAGAGCGCTGTAGGACAAACTCTCTGTCTCGATGAGAGGAAACCCTGCAGTCAGTTTAAGGCTTTCATCTCTCAATTATGGTCCTGTGCTTCTGGAAGCTCAGTTTGTAATGTTGAGGAGGAGAATTCATCCCCTGCTTAGAATTCAGTCATCGTGATCTGTTATTTTAAGTACTTTTTAAAGAATAAACAACAAAATATTCTCTACAGCGTGTCAAATTGGAATATTTGTTGGTTTCTTTTGTTTTTTTCAAATCAAACCCCCTCAAAAAATGAGTCCATTAATCGACTGAAAATTAAAGAGCAGCTGATAATCAGTTATGAGTGGGCTCCTTTTCTTTTTAAGGATTTTAGTAACATGAATGTATTTGTAATTTGATTGTTGGTGTAGACGGTCTGGTACAGAAATAGTTTTGGTCTCTATAGATAATTTTTACAGGGTGAATTTTTGTATCACCCGTTTAAACTATATTAAGGCTTAAAGTTATGCATAATTAAGGGCGTGGCCGCTTTGAGTGACATTTGTGTGCTGTCACAGGCTGTTTTCAGTAACCAGGCTTCAAATTTTAATTTTGGATTAGCACCATTAGAACCGGCGGATTCAGGACTTCCAAGATGGCGACGGCCAGAGCACACGGCACACTGACCACAAAGTTGACCAATCATGACATTATCTACGTAATTTCAATTAATATGCAAATTCTAAAATGATGCTAGTTATTGTCCTGGTGAAGGGCAAACATATAGTGACACATGAAATGGTCACACTGTACATCATTAGCTAACTTCTCCAGTATTCCCCCGTGATGGCACCGACTGCTGGCTTCTTTAGTCAAACAGAGTAGACTAAAAACTATAAATAGCAGAATGTGACCCGCGCTCCACCGTCTCCGCCTCCTATGTCGCGTCTGATCCACCGAGCTGCAGCTGAAGTGCGGTGCAGCCGAGCAGAGGACAATGTACCGGCATGTGGGTTGAAGCGGTGGTTAAAGCGACCAAATGGAGCCTAGAGAGAGAGAGAGAGAGCTGAGGGTTTAAATGAGTCTCCGGCTAGGAGGGAATCACACCACCAAAGCCCATCCAGAAGCATTAAACACTGAATGAGGGATTATAAATAGATCCAGAAGCCTTCCCCGTCCTCCTTCTCTCGCTCATATCATCCTCGCTGTCCTCATCCAAACCGAGAGCAGCACTGGCACTGGGCTGACAGATAAATGTCACCCAGGGGTTCAAAGGTCACTTGGTTAAATGTCTAATGCAGTAACAGCAAATCTGTTCTCTTCATCTGTATCCAGTGTTTTCTTTTTCTTCATCATAGTTGAGAAATTTAGATCGTAATTGGATCTGATTCAATGTCACCCGCCTTTTTTTTTTATGTTAGATAAGATGGATTGATCAACCCTCACTGGTTGTTGATCTAAAGCCCTTATCCTGAATTATATCTATATGTAATATAGCATTTCTAATTTAATGAGCTTCATTTAACACAGAGGTGTAATTTATGTACAAGTATCATGTTAAGGTGATGTGAAATACTTAAAGCAGCTCTAAGGCTATGTTCACACGCTGTAATATTTTATTAAGACAAAGTTAGAAACATTTTCATAAAACCAGAATATTTTTCTAACTCAAAACGTGATTATTTTTCCTTTTAGACAAAAAATAAGACAAATTTTCCAGAAACAAGTTTTTTTTTATTACTTTCCTGAGATTCCTTTTTTGCAGTGCATGCACAAAAATGTGTGAGTGCAGTTCTTCAGGTCATTGGACAATCTAAAGTGAAATGCTCTTAACATGTTGACAATAAACTTGTAAGGTTGTAGATTACAAGATAGAACAGCCATATGTATATTTTAAACCATCAGTCAGAAAAACAAATCACCGTATACATTAGAGGCATGTGAGTGAAACGGTGGCGCCGAATCTCCCAAGGGAGCAATTCACTGTTCTTCCTCTGCTCCTCAGCTTTCTCTAAATGGACTTTATCTTCATCGAAGAGGTGACGTTTAGAAACAGCTGTAAAGGTCCTAAAACTATGTCATGCTATATATATTTGCCTTTTTATTGGATGGAACAGCTCGAGATGGACAGGAAAGAGAGGAGGGGGGGTGACATGCAGCAAAGGTTGGATTTAAACCACTGGCCCCTCCAGCAAGGACTTGGTACAAGGCCTCCCCAGGTCATCTGTTTTAAGTAAAACTGTATTTTGAATTAAATCCAGATGCAGATATTTAAACATGTTCTGATACTAAAATAACAATCGGCTCGTGTGTGTGATCTCTGTGCACTTCCGAAGGTTGTAGTGTCGTTGATCCAGTCATTTTATTGTATCATTTTCCCATCAAAGGCCTGACCCAGAGCTTTAAAAAGTATGTTTGTTGAAACTATAATTATGGATTTTCTTCCAACTGTATTGTTGAAGCTTTAAATGAAGTCAGCTCTCTGTTCTTTGGAAATCAAATCAATGCAGGAGCAGACTGCTGGAGTTGCAGTGTGATGTCCTGAAGAGAGCCTGCTCTCTAAAAGCATCGCTGCACAATGGATCCACACACAAACCTGCATTAAAACCAGCTGGCTTTGTGGTGTTTGTGTCTCAGTGTGTGTGTGTGTGTGTGTGTGTGTGTGTAGGACTGATTGTGGTGCATTCAGGCTACATCAGCAGACACAGCAGCATTAGTCATGTAGCCTGCGAGCAGACTAACCTGAAGTAGTGGTGACGGTTGTCATGGTGACAATCCTATTGTGCTTTCCTTCTTTTTAGTTTATATGTAAAACAGTGCTGTCGCCCTTCCAACACGTCAGTATATTCTAACTCTGTCAGGGTGGACTGATATCAGGGTTCCAGTCTCCAGTGTGACAGCGCTTCAGACTTTTGTTATCTGGATGAAACCTGAGCGAGTGCTGAGCAGGCAGGAGGGTTTCACTTACAGCAGCCTAACAACCTGTCTGCGTGTGGAAGATGACAGACAGGCAGCCCGTCATTAGCTGCTGGATTGATGTTGCAGTGCGCCGTACACGCTGAATGTGGTGACCTGATTATTATGTGTGAGACTTAAAAATATATGATATGATGAAACAGAGAGGACATTGAGTCTCTGGCGGTGGATGAAGGCAGGAACACCTTCTTCCTGACCTCAGCTGTGAGTGTGTGAGCACTATAATCAGATTTGGGGCTTGTACATCGACCAGGAGGGAGTCTGTTAATGGATCACGTAGTAGCTTCCTGCTGGCTGTAATACAATCCAGCCACAGCGGCCTGAAGGAGTCCAGGTCGGACTCTGTCACCAAACTGAAACCATCAATGAAGATGGAGGGAAAGAGAACATTGTAGTGAAGTGAAGAAGATTGTATTTAATAACCAGATTTATTTAGATTTATATTGTCATCTTTCAGTTCTGCATCGTGTTCTGTGCAAAGAAGAAATATTTGTAACAGTTTGGGATGTTTATTGCTTGAATTCTTATTTGAAATGCAGTTAAATTATGAGAATTATTTGGCAGAAAAATGTCTAATTACATACAAAATGTAGGAGAAGATGGAAGATTGAGAGCTTGAAGAGATTGAAGAGGTAAAGGAAAGAAGAGAGCGGATCTTTATTTTGACATGACTTCATCACTTCTCCTCTCAGTCTGATTTTACCAAAGTCTCCATAAGTGGGTCATTTTAAAATAACTGAGGACTAGCTGAGCTCTGGTGACATGTTCGACAGCTGCGAGCGTCTAATAACCTCAGGCTCACGTTCTCTTTTAGCTGTTAATGTTTGTGGTCGGTTTTAGACTGAGACACACTGATCGCTGTCTTCACAGAACATTAGAAAAGAAAGACACATCCTGCCTTTAAAGGGACATTTTCAGCATTGAAAGAGCTTTCTGTTCAAATAGACTCATACACTGATCTAGATAAACATGATCAAAAGTGTGGTTTTATTCTCACTGGAACAAGTAGCCTTTGATTTTTTAATTAATTTTACAAAAATATCTCTACTATTTTGCAATTCTTACTTTCTCCTGCAATTTTTATTTTTAAAACAATGCCTAAAAACTTTACATGCATCACAACTTTTTAGAAAAGCTGCTGGGAATTTTAGGCTGCAGTTACCTTTATATTAAATCATTTATGTCCTTTTGGAATATAGATTCATTCACAATAGACAAATGAATGAACTGGAGGACTAATAATGATAATTTTTTCGGATTTCTTTTATTAAATGAAAAGCAGATGTGTTGCTTTGACAGAAAGTGTGTTTTTTTGTGTTCAGTCTGATATCAATGATCAAACAATCATTCATACAGTCATACAACTGTTGTCCTTTATTACAGGATGTTTTAGGTGTCTTGCTTCTACTCTGCTTAAATGATGCCATTTTACAGATTTATTTTCTTTAAGGAGAATTACAGTTTGTCACAACTGGATTTCAACATCTTATTGCTCAATCCCTAAATAGGTCTGATATGTTGTAATTTATATCAATATTGACTGAGCTAGGGTCATCACAAAACACATTCAGATACTATTACGGATGTTTTTGTTTTTTAATGCACATTAAGTTAAAGCTCTGCATAATGTTTGTACCTGATATATTGGACTGATCCATCATTTGGTAATCAGTTGTTATAGTGATAACATGTAACAGAAAGAATTACTCTGTGCTAATAAGTCAGTATGTGGTGTAACCCTAAAACCTTGTGTTGTGTGTGTGTGTGTGTGTGTGTGTGTGTGTGTTGTGTGTGTGTCTTCCCCCTCAGTGTCCTCAAGATTGGTGATTTGAAAGACGCCCTCCTATATTTATAGTTACATTTCAGTCTGAACTCCTGGTTTGGACTAAAGAAGCCCCCAGCAGCTCCCGCGTCGCCCACATGAAATCGTCCGCCCTCAGGAATACTGGAGTAAGGTCAGGCATAGCTCCACAACATGCATCTTACATGTAGCCACCAAATGTCCCATCATGTGGAGCCGCTCCCCTACCTTACTCAGACTGATTTGGCCTTTCACCTAAGGACACGACATAACGCTAGCGCCTAATCGATTATCCACTACAAATTCTGCCGGTGGAGCGTTCTTGCAGACTCAGCTGGAGATCGGAGAAGTTCGTCGCGAGAATGCAGGAGGCCCTGGCCCAAAGGTCCACACACACACCACACACACACACACACACACACACACACACACACACACACCACACACACACAGACACACCACAACTCAAATAAACCAATACTATGAGATTAGCATTATCAGGGTCCAGCTGGCATTAGCAGGAGAATAGAGTGAAGAGCTGAGTCAGGATGACTCTGCACAGAGACTATTTGACTGCATTATCTCCATCTGCTGCTGCCTTCACAGCAGAAACTTATATCAGAATTTAATTATGTTTACATGTAAACACAACAGGTACATTATATATCTTTTATAAATATATTTGTAATTATATCAATATGAAATGTATAAAAACGTGTGTTCTGTAAACTCTTTCACCATCATGATGCTGTTTCTTAAAGGAGAAGAATATTTTGATTTTGTATAGTTTTAATCACGTTGACCCCTGTGACCTTTGACCTCCAGCTGAACAGCGAGAACAGGAAGTTGAAGTACCTGAGCCTGTCGTCTCGTCCATGTCTGGATGAGCTGCTTCCCAGCATCTCAGACTGCATCGCACTGGAGGCTGAGTCGGACGCAGANNAGTACCAACAACAGGTTAAAGGTACATTACGTAGTGTTATAGTGGTGTAGTACCAACAACAGGTTAAAGGTACATTACGTAGTGTTATAGTGGTGTAGTACCAACAACAGGTGAACTAAGGACCTGTTGGACCTGCCAGAATACCATCATATGTTCTGTGTGTATTTGGGCTCCTCAGACAATAATTCTTAATATTAGCTAGAATCCTGAAATTTTCATACCAGCACATTCTCACCCCCAATGCATTAAATAAAGTGTTGCAGGGATATTTGTGTAGCATCATCCTGGTTCCTTTGACAAAAAGCCATTGAATTTTGGATTAATGCAGAAAATATGCTGTGACCGTTTGGTTGAAGCTTTTGATTGAGACACTTAAACCTAATGGACAGATTTCCATTCACTGTGCTGGAGATAATCACAGTCCAAACGGACCACTTGACCTTACCTGTAGTAAGACCATCCGGACAAAACTTACACTTACACAGCAGAAATATCATGCTGAAGGATGAACATTATATGTTTAGGGCAGTTGCTTTTATTATATACAGCAGATACATAATGAAGGTACGTACAATGTTGTGCGGTATTTAATCAGTTCATATTCAAGAAATAAACGTACTTGACCATTCTGCGCTGTTCATCTCTGTGTTGTCAGAGCTGAGGGAGACGGTGAACAGCTTGTTGGAGGAGAAGAAGAATTTTGTGTGTCAGATTCATGAACAGCAGAGACGGATAGAAGAGCTGACTTCACAGGTGAGAACATATCACAGCACATAAAACCAGTAGAGGAATGTAACTAAGTACATTTATAGTGGAGTAGAATGCAACTTTATTTTACACATTTTTTACTCCAAAAGAAAGTGTAGTTCCAGATGTGTTGATTTTCAATGTTTGTGATACAGCAGTAAAATGTGACATACTCAATAATGCAGCTGTAATAATAATCCAAAAACATCTATATATACATATATATATACATATATGATAGTAAAACACTGACAGGGAACATTTTACTGCACTATGAGTACTTTTATGTACAGTACAGCACATGTATCTGATATTACTTACATATTTTTACTACTAGTTTTTGAATGAAGGACCTTTTATTTGTAATGGAGTATTTTCTTCATATGATACTAGGAGTGAGCTATTATCTGTTTAACCAACTGCATTATCAGACATAAACATAAACCCAAAGTCAGAACAGAATTGAGCTTCAGAGCCTTTTTTGATCACAAGAGTAAGATAACTATTTACAGAAGAACAGTTTGTATATTTACAAGTACTGATACATTATCTATATCAGGTAATTGCTGCCGAGTACTTGCTCAACCCAATATGACACTACATTTATAATTGATTTTTAGCTGATGACTGTTTAAGATGTGCACTGGTGTCTTTTTTTGCTTTCACTCTTTGCAGTCAGACAAAGATCAGGCCGAGATGAAGGAACTCCGTGAAACTGTTGCACAACAAAGCAAAACCATCAAGAGATTCAACCGAGGTGAGCCACACAGAATACCAGTGTCACTTTAAATGTGCTGATGTGTCGCTTTCTTAGTTTATCCTGATGTCTCTCTGTCTCTGTAGTCTCCATGATGGCGGCCCAGGAGTACGATGGGATGAAGGATCAGCTCGACTTGGAGCAGAGCCTGAGAGTCAAAGCCGAGACTTATGCACACGAGGTAAAGAAACGCTTACAGGAACACACTGCTGGACACGGTACAAGAGAGAATGCAGAACTGGTGTTCAGAAGTTTGAAGCTTAAAGCTGCATTAAGACATTTTCTGGCCACTAGGGGGCAGAAAAACGTCAGAACACAGCCACCACAGTTTCACAAGTTTATAAAGTTGTTAGCTAACATAAACAGTTGCCTATTTAGCTTTACTTTGGTCCAACTACTACAACATATTACTATATTATAAAATTATATTAAAACGAATTTAGCGTTGAAAAATATTGAAAACTTAATGCAGATTTTTCTCTATGTATAATTTTTTGGTGGATGGAAATCATATATTTGTTAGTTTTACAGTTTTGTAAATAAAAGAATAACCAAAGAAAGTCTGGATTGTCTTTGCAGCTTTGGTTGGAAGCAGAAATTAAAGGAACATTCAGTCAAAATACGAGTGGTAGAGGTTTTTGTTTAGATCCAGTTTGCTGTCATCCACTCAGCACAGCTTTAACTAATCTTTTCACACATTCATAATCTACGCTCCAGTTTGTCCTCATTTATGAAAATACTGTGCGACTTTACAGCTTCAGCCCTCTGAAGTGATCCTGTCCGATGATATAACTAATTGCTCTCCATGAATTAAAAGCTGTAGAGTGAAGCTGTGGTTAGCCTCAGTGATAAACGCTGACCTGCATTGCTGTGTTGGTAATTGATGTGTGTGTTAATAACCATGTGCCTGATTAATGAAATGTCCTGAATCTGATGTTTACTGACCTGAAAAGTGAAGAGCCTGCAGGATGAAAACAGACTGCGTGTGATGGATAAATTGGGATGATGTGTTGGTAGTAAAAATGTAGAATCTTCATCTTTCTCCCACTCTTTTGTTTTGTTCTGCTCCCTCCTGCAGATGCTTGTGAAGCAGAAGGAGGCCAACAGGCAGAGTATGCTGCTGCTGCAGAATGCTGAGCCCAGCGTTCAGCTTCTGAAGGCTCTGGAGGACATCGCGGCCATCACCAAAACCCTGGAGGAGGAGCGTCTGCAGCATCAGCAGAAGGTAAACCCTGAAAGCTTGTGCAGTTTCAGTTAATTGTCAGGACTTTGATGTTTGTCCTGGCAGAGGTGACGGCGGGTCTGTCATCAGATTTTCATCCACTATTACTAGTACTATGAGAGTTGTGAGAGTAAACTGAAACAGTAAAGTTGGAGCTGGACGGTTACACAATAAGCTGAAACTCACTAGAAAGCTGCGTAAAGCGGAGGGGAGCTGCAGGTTCAGCTGATAATTCTCTGTAAGTTCATCACTATGAGCAACACGGCTCTATCTGCTGTGAAATATTTATACGGCTCTGCATGATTCTGCATTTGTTTCAACAGAGATGTTTGAGCTGACTGTTGTGTTGTGTTTTGTTGTTGGCACACCATTCACTTTCTTTATGACGGGTCCGCAATAATTTTATGGGTTCTTTCCTTGGCCCCTCCTTCCACCACGTTTCATGAAGAATGCGCCAGTATATTTTCTGTAGTCCTGCTGACAGACAAACAAACAGGTAATAAGTTTTAGTTGGATGTGTCTCTGGCACACTAAAGTTATAGTTAAGAGTATTTTTACCACTAACTTTTATCAAATGACTTTTTATGATGTTACCTGAGGTTATATAGGAGTCATGTGACCTACAAGCCTACAGTAAAATTACAAACTGCATTTCTAGAGAGCATAGAGATACTTTTCATCAGGCTTAAAGATTTTAGCAAACAAAAACAAACTCCCCTTGATTGTGTAGCCGTGATGTAAACCATACAGTACATGTGTGTGTGTGTGTGTGTAGGTGGAGAGTCTGGAGGCACAGCTGGAGCAGAGCTGTGTGAAGAAGCAGCTGGAAGCTCTGCAGAGGCAGCTGGAGCTGCTGGAGGTGGAGAAGAAGGAGGTGGAGGGACGACTGGAGGAGTCAGAGAAGAAGAGCGAGGAGCTTGAGAACAGAGGTGGGTGGAGGTGGAGACACACACACACACACACACACAGAGCACAGAATGGAAACAGCAGGTGGAGTTAAGGGGGTCTTCAGTTGGGTGAATTAAGTTAACATCCAGTATAAGTACACAGCATAGCAACAGGCTAGTATCTACGCCTGAAATCAGGGAGGAGGATTTAAACACTTTTCTAGCTGCCATGCTGAACCGCCATGTTTGTACAGTAGCCCAGAACAGACAAACCAAACACTGTTGTTTCCCCTTCGCACTTGGAAAGGGAGGATGAAGCAATCCTTTTAAAAGTTAGATAAAAAGAATCTTATAAATCAAACCTAATGTCTGTGTGTAGAGGAGGGTCACTGGTGTCTTCTTCCTCTGTGGCCTCTCTGACTATTTGTCCAACACAGACCATTGACCCATCTGCTGCAGGAGAGCTGGCAGAATCTCTCCCTGCGTGCAACATGGCATCTGCATGCGTTTCTTTAAATGGGTCACGCAAAGTCAGGGCCAAAACCACCAACTGCCTTCAACCAGAGACCGTTAAAAAAGGACAATAAAAACAGAAGCCTCTTTCACTGGTGTCCGGAGATAGTGTGTTGGGGCAAGAGTCTTCACTCTGGAGGGAAACGTGGAGGCTTGAAAGATTTCCTCCGTCAGATCTCTTCAGAGGAAAAGCATAAAAAACTAAAATGAGATAACATGACACAGCAGTATTAAACAGCAGCAGCAGCAGCAGTAGTAATAGTAGTAGTATTAGTAATAGTAGTAGTAG